TTAAACTTGTCAGTCTCCAAGGTGCTCCCAGACTCGAATCTGGTGTGCTTTCAGACACTGCCATGTAAGAAACGAGCCAAGACCAGTTAGAGTCTGAGAAAGTAAAGAAGCCTCCATTATCAAGTTTTTATTTTCTATGTTCAGACAGAAGTCTAGTTTTCCCTTGGGGTGGTCAATGTGTGATTTGACTGGTCTGCTTCATACTGTGGGCCCACAAAGTACAAGAATAGGGAGGAAGTGTATAACACTAGGCCAGTGACTGAATCTAGCCTTCTCCCTGACACACTAGCTTTCAACATACAAGGAGGGTTTTGGTGTACAGAGAAAAGTGGACCCACCCAAACCTCCACTTACAGCCCAAGCCAGACAGACATTGATTGCCTCTGTGAGAACCAGCCAGCACCGGCCGTCCCTTGGATACCGTCACAGGCATGGAAGGACACAGCTCCACTGAGCCCCGGAAGCCACCTGTTGATAAGGTTGCCAACTTCCAGCTGAGGACTGGAGATCCCCCAGAAGTACAACAGGTCTCCAGGATGCAGAGATCAGAGTTCCCCTAAGAAGAATGGCAGATCTGGAGGGTGGACTCCATAGTCCACCGTAGGGTCCTAAGGTGATATCCCTCCCCCAGCTCTTCCCTTTCTAGGCTCCGTACCCCAACCTCCAGGAATCTCTCCTCAGCCTGGATCCGGACTCCCTACTTGCAAAGGAAGACCGTCGCCCCCCCCCCCCCGGCTTAACATCGCAACAACCTTAAAGAGTGCCTCTGGGGCTGCACAGAGTGCTCCCCGCCACCCACGAAGGCCCGGCTCGAGCCTTCTCCGAATAAAAGTTGGGGATCTCGGCCCAGCGGGAAAGGCACTCGGACAGGACGAAACTCTTCTTCTCCAAGGCTGAGAGCCAAGGAAAAAGAAACCGTCCGCAGACGCGACGCGGGGGGCGGTGCCATCTTCCCGGCGAGGACGTCACAACCGCCTTCCCCCCCGTTTAAAGCGCATGCGCAGGAAAAGACCACCGCTCGCGCTCTCCCTCTGGCCGTCGCGAACAAAAACAGCCGCTCCCGCGACCATAGAGAGGGAGGAAGAGGCTAGAGGGGTCTGCGGTCGGCGTTTCCGATACAAACGGGAGTCCGCCAGCGGCTCCGCTGTCCCTTTCTGTAGTGGAAGCCGCCGCCTGGGGAAGCTTCCAGCTTCGGCTTCCGGGTCTGCTCAGCATCAAACTCGCTGCCGAGACGCTTGTGAGGGTCGCCTTGGAAATAGCCGGTTTGGTTGGGAGGCGCACCCGATAAAGCAACCTGCTGAGCCGCGTACGTCATCTTTGATTCTGCGCAGCCCCGGGTATTCTGAGGACGATCACTCGTGCAGTGCGAAATACTTTTATCAGCCCGTCTTATCCGTTCAACAGAGAGACAGTTTGGTGTAGGGGTTAAGTGCGTGTGGGCTCCAATCTGGGAGAACCGGGTTTGATTCCCCACTCCTCCACTTGCACCTGGCTAGATGACCTTGGGCAAGCCATGGTTCTGATAAGAGCTGTCCTTGAAAAAGAGCAGTTTCTGTCAGAGCTCTCTCAGCCCCACCTACCTCACAGGGTGCCTGTTGTGGGGAAGAGAAAAGAGCTTGTAAGCCGCTCTGAGACTCCTTTGGGTTGGGGCGGGGTATAAATCCAATCTCTTCTACTGCCTGAAGGAAGTTGTCCCAACAATATGAACGCTCGAGAGCAGTGTTCCCTCTAAGCTGAGTTCATGTGAGCTAGCTCACAGTTTTTCAGCCTCCGGCTCCCACACGTTTTTGCCTTAGCTCAGGAAGGGATGTCTCCAGAGCGAACTCATTTATGCAGTGGCCAGATCACTCGCTCACAACTCTGATGCCAGGAGCTCACAAAGTAGAATTTTTGCTCACAAGACTCCACAGCTTAGAGGAAGCATTGCTTGAGAGAGCCTCTGCGTTTCTTTTTACTGTATGTCTGCATTTCCCCCCCTCAATTGTGGAGCGTGTGTCATTTAGCAAGGTTTTTATATCCCCTCCTGCCATGTTTCTGAATAGTCAAAGCCAGGGCGGGCTCCCTGGATACATTTTCCAAATAAGTAAATTATCATCCGTCATGATTATTTATCAGTTTGTGAAAAGGTAAAATCAGTTTAGATATAGCACGCATTTTAATTACGAAGATTTCCTCAAACCTGAGTGTCACTGTCTAAACCTCAAGGAACTTGGGCGCCCTGTGCAAATGGAAATTAATCCTGTGGAAACTTTTGTCTGACTTAAAACTGGCATTGCTAAAATCTGAAGTGGTCTGAATCTCTGCTGTTCTAGCTGCAGATTCATGCCTGGTGTCTAATTGTGGGCCTTTTGGAAAAATTACCGTTATGCCAGCTGCTGCATATTCCTCACTTTTTAATGAGATGAGCCTCATCATACATAATCTGCAGAGAACCATCCCTGTCAGGAGAGCTCTGCTTCGCAAGAGAGTAGACCAGATCCGTCACATTTTGGGTATGGAACAGTTTGACCTTGCCGTTATCTATATCAGTAACCACCACATTCAACTACTCAACAGAACCTACAGAGCCAAGAACGTCCCCACAGATGTGCTATCATTCCCTTTTCATGAGGTAAAGGTATTTTGTCATTTTCTATCTCAGTGGTAGAAGAAAAGATTGGATTTATACCCCGCCCTTCACTCGGAGTCTCAGAGCGTCTTACAATCTCCTTTCCCTTCCCCCTCCCCACAACAGACACCCTGTGAGGTAGGTGGGGGGCTGAGAGAGCTCTGACAAAACTGCTCTTTTTCAAAAACAGCTCTTATCAGAACTATAGCTTGCCCAAGGTCATCCAGCCAGGTGCAAGTGGAGGAGTGGGGAATCAAACCCAGTTCTCCCAGATTAGAGTCCGTGCACTTAACCCCTACACCAAACTGTTACTTATGGTAACTGCCTTAACGGATGTAGGAATAGGGCTTTGTTGATCTATTTTTTAATCCCACCCTTCCTGTCAGCGCAATGTGAGAATAAAATGGAGACAGGAATAATCCTGTAGAAACAACCCTGTCAGGTCAGTTAGGCTGAGTGAGTGAAAATCTGGGTGACTGCCAGAATAGCACAGTGGGATCAAAAAAACTGTAATAAATACTATTTAAAAAAACAAACTATGGCAGTACACAGTATATATACCCAAATTTTCTATTATTATTATTGTATTAATTTGGGGGCTATGGTTGGGACTTGTTTATCTCATAGAATCTGAAACCTGGAAAGCTGCCAAAGGCTTCCTGCCGAGACGAACTGAATTTTGGAGACATTTTTGTCTCAGCTCAGGAAGAATGGCTCCAGAGCAAGCTAACTGATGCAGTAGCCCAGTCACTCAATCACAACTTTAATGCCTGTAGCTCACAAAGTAGAATTTTTGCTCACAAGACTACACAGCTTAGAGGGAGCATTGCTCTGCAGGTGTGGTTTTTAGGTCTCTCTCCTGTGAACAAGTTCTGTTGTGACCGGCACAGACGCAAGGAAACATCCCCCCGTTTGCCACAACATTTGCATGCTTCTGTGGCTTGATCCTCAGAGGCAATGCTGACAACCCTTGCAGGACCTTTCCTGCATAAGAATTTCGGATGGGTGGAACTGGGGCATACCAAGCCTTTGCAAGGCAAGGGGGATGCAGACACTGGGGTAGCGACAAGGAAGACATACCACGTGACCTTCATAGAAGAAGCAGTCCTGTAAGCTCCCCAACTGCTCGCTGGGGAAAGGTACCCTTGTGTCAAACTGGTGCTATGGATTCAGATCCCGCTGATCCAAAGGCAAGGCAGGCACAACTCTGGCCATCAATGGGCAGGTTGGCTGCAACACCAAAGGGAGAAGCTGGCCTAGCCTAGAACCCGCAGCTCACGAATTTCGAAGCAGTCCTCTGACCAGACACCCAACTGAATACACAGGAACATGACACTGCAGAGAACATGAGCGTTCCCACAGCTGCCCTGGTGTCTACCAGCCATACATTTCTGGAAGGGCATATACGGAGACCACGTCCTCAGCCCTCTCCCAGTGTGAGCTGCATCTTGAAGACAGTGGAGGATGTGCGCAGGATGGGATGGGAACCAATCCCTGGCTATCCAGTCCCAGTCAGAGACACAGCTGTACAGCAAGCCACATGTTTATGGAAGAGAATCAGGAATACTGAGAACAAGTCAGATGAATGGAGTTGCCAACTGTGGTTCCTGCACGGCTGCACCAACGGGCCACAGTTAGATCTGTTCCCGTCATTGCGTGCT